GTCGCATTGGGGTGCTCGCTCTTCTGGTTGTTGTTGGCGGTCGTCATGCTGTTGTTGTTGTTGTCGCAGCTGGCGCAAATCCTAGCTATCTCGACGCGGTGAGATTGTCGCGCGCGCTAATCAGGCGGTAGGCCGGCCGCGCCGTCAGCGTTCGGAAAGTGGCGGTCAGTGCATCGTGCGGGGTGGGGGTGGGGGCGGGGCTGCAGTGGGGCAGACAGGCAGACAAGGGACGCTGCTGCCACAAAGCCGACTGGCCGAGTCGGGCGGCTTAGAGCAGCCTGCGCCCTGCAGTGCCCTGCGGTGCCCTGGTGTGGTGGTACGGTGGCGGCGACCCCTGCCGCCACCGCCATGCCGCCATGCCATGGCCGAGCCGGGTCGAGCCGCCCGGACGGTCATTGTTTCTTCATCGATCAATTCCGGCGGATCGGCGCCGGCGGGCGTGCCAGCTGCGGGGCCGCGCCGTCGTCTGGGCTGCTGGCTGCAGAGGGAGGCGGTGCAGGCCGAGACCGAGGAGGGACGAATCAAGGGGGCGGGAAGCACCAGCGAAGCAGCTAACGGCGGCGGGGCGCCTCCAACCGCCTGGGAGGTAGGCAGGCCGCGGGCAGGTGTGTGCGGCGGCGGCCTACCCGCCAGGCTGACGCGCCGTACCGCCACGCCGCGGCCCGGCGCGCTCGGCATCAATATTCGCTTCGGCAATGAGCCTCGCCTCGCCTCGCCTCGCCTCGGGGTCTCAGAGTGTGAGCCAGAACCGGCAGTACAGCGGCCGTCTCCAGTTCCGCCGTTTCCCAGCGCGGCTCTGCGAATAACGCATTCCGGGCGTAACGAACGGCCGGCATGGCGGCGACGGCGGCGTGAACAACGAGTGGCCATTTGTCGCTCTCGTCGGCGTCGGGGTCGGGTCGGGTCGCGGGGGCGGGCGGCGACGTGGCCGCCATTCTGGGCGTCTGCCGTCCCCGCCGCCGTCCCCGCCGTGCCCGTCCCGGCGGTAAAACGCATTTGGTCGCAGCGAAAGGAGGCCTCGCGATCCGGGCCGCAGAGCCGCCGCCGTTGCCGGTGCCCCGACTAGCCGGAACGGGCGCTGAATTCATAAACGGCGAGGCGCTTGCTGGCCGGGGGGCCGGGCCGCGAGGGCGCGGGGCGCTGGGGCGGGAGGGGCCCTCAAAGGGGCACAGCCACTATTGCCGGTGACACGGCGGCAGAGGGCGAGCAGCGCGCGGCGAGAGCGGCAAACCAAGTGGATGACGAGCTGCAGGGGCCGGAACTTGGAGCGATGATCGGGAGGGGAGTTACGGAGACAGCCGCCCGAAAGGTAGCCTCCGCAAGTTCTACAATACTTTGCCCCATCACGCTGGCTGTGGATCCACCACTGCTTGGATTGCCACCACGACCTTCCCTGGACAGCCCCGCCCCCACCCCCGCCCCCACCCCCGCCCCCGGCACGGAGGATGCGCGCGTGGCGTGCCCCTCGAAAGCGCCCGAAGATAAAAGCTGCGCCGAAAAAGCAAGAAATAAAAACACGTCGCGAATGTTGTTTGCTGCAGCCCGGACAGCCCGGACGGGGACGGGGCGAGTGCCAGCGCCATCGCCTACACTGCGAGATGAAAACGAAAACCAAACGACAACGTTGTGTGCACACACCCCGACGCGTCGGAGGGGTTTGGGGTGGGGGCGGGGGCGGGGGCACAGCTCAATGTAAACATTAGCGAGTGGACGGCGGGGAGTGGGGGCCGGGCTGGCCGTGCTGGCTGGGCTGGCTGGGCCAGAGGGACCCGCGCTGACACTGTCATCACTCTGACACACTTGTTGCCATCAATCGATTTTTTTTTCTTGCGGCCCCCGGGGGCGGGGCGAGGCGGGGCTGGGGCGGCCCCCGTTCCGTCTCGTGTTCCCGTCGGCCGACCGACCACGCCGACGACGGCGGAGGCCAAGGCCTGGCCGGCCTGGCCCCGGCGTGGCCAAGCCCCGAGGCCAGCTCCGAGCAGACAGTCGCGCCTCGCCGACGCGTCGGCCAAACGACCAGCGTTAATCCCGCGGCCCAAGGACGCCATCGCCTGCCCCATTTAGCTGTTGGAGCTCCTCGACGTCGTGCACCTCAAGTTCAAGAACGCCCCGACCGCGCGGCGCGCAGCGTCTCAAGGAGTCCCTTTGAGGCGGCGGGCGGCGCAACCCTTCACGTTCGCGGCGCATCCGGCGAGACAGGGTGCTTCAGGCCCGCGGCGCCTGTGGTGGCGCACAGCCCCGCGAAGCGAAACCCGGCGCGAACACTGTCGAACACCCGGTACCCTTCGCGGCGCAGCCGTCAAGACAAAGACCCGCCGCGCGAGGGTACAGTCGCGCAGAGCGAAACACTGAAGTACACTGAAGTGCGATGAGGCGGGCACAGCGAATCCCGCAGTCGACGCCGACGCCGACGCCGCAAGCGTCGCCCTTGTCCACCGAAACCTTTGGCGAGCCACGGCCGGGCCACGGCGGGGCCTCGGCGACCCTCAGGCCGGAACCGGAAGGGAGGGGCGCGTGTCACCACGGCGGTGGCGCCTGCCGGTCGATGCGGCGCCCTCTCAGGAGGTCAGGAAGACGATGAGCGTCTCCGTGACGGATTGACGAGGCCACCGTCGAACCGCCAGACACGCACACACGAAGACACGCACCCGGAGGCAGCGCCAGAGGGTCCTCCCGGGAGTCACTCTGTATCCCTCGCACCCACACGGGGCGCCGCGTGCGTGCGAGAGAGACAGGGCGACTCTCGGAATCAGTCTGCCCAGCAGCCACGGCCAATTAATTGGAACCCGCGACCTCATTAGGGAGGGAAGTTATTCCAAGCACTGAAAGCCTCGTGCTTCGTGCAGCCTTGCGCCCCGAGCGGCCCCGAGCGGCGCGGGGGGCTCTTTGGCTTGTCATCAATCCACCCCTGCTGCGATGCGAGCGCGCGCGCGTTTGTGTGCGTGTTGGTGTGTGTGAGCGCGTGTGTGCGTGCGCGTGTCCGAGCCTGCGAGTGTGCGTGCGAGGGAGGGAGCGAGAGGACCGGTGCGTGCGTGCATGTGTGTGAGAGAGAAAGAGAGAGTCTGTGTGTGTGAGAGTGTGTCTGCTTGCGCGGCTTCCCAGATCGATTCCCCCGTGTGCGCTATTTTAAAGGCGGCTGCAGAAAGCAAGGCATCGCAGCAGCGCCGCGCTGCGGGTTACGGCCTTTACAGTGGATCGCGCCGCTTTTTATCAGTGCGCTTCGCGGCGGCCGGTCCAACAACAACAACTAGGCCACAAAGCCGCGGCCGTCATATGCACCGTATAAAGCCCACTCGTCGAGCCACTCGTGCAGAGTTTCAAACTCCGGGCCGCGCTGCGCTGGGCTGCGCTGCACCTCGGCTTCTTCATCAGGGCGCCCCGCCCAGCACAGAAAAAAGCGGGGGTGAAATTGTGTTTGCTGTAAGTCCGTGCGACGGCGCGACAGCGGCGGCAAGGCATACAAGGTAACCAGCGCTGCCATGCTGCGCCTTTTGACGAGACCGGCGAGAGCAAGCTACCCAACAAACCGGGTCGTTAGGCCGGGCAACGACCCACGGCCTCCATCGCCGAGGCCGTGGCCGAGGCCGAGGCCTGGCCCTCCCCACACATGGACCCTCCCCGGCCTCGCCCGGCCACGCCCGGCCACGCCCGGCCACGCGCCCCCATTCACGGCCTTCTCCTCGAGCAGACCGCCATGCACCCCGCTAGCACACTGATTCCGAAAGTCGCCCCTCTCCCTCGCACTCATGGGCGCCCCCGACAGGTGCGAGGGAGACAGAGCGGCCGTCCGCAGGCAGTGCCGCACCGGAAGGCCGCACGGCGCCGGAAGCGCGCCACTTAAAAATAATGCAAACCGCGGCGTGCTGCGGTGCCGCGGTGCCACGCGGCGCTACGCGGCGCCTGGAACCAAAGCGACGCTTTGGCGGCAAGGAGTGCTGATTCAATCGATTCGACTAATGCTATTTTCATTGGCATTAGACGGCGCCGGCCGGCGCCCCCGGGCCCCCCGCCCCCGCTCGCCGCGCCCCCGGGGGGGCGGGGCAGCGGGGCGGGGCGGGGGGGCGGGCGGGCGGGGCGGGCGGGCGGGGGGCGGGGCGGGGCGGCGGGGCGGGGCGGGGCGGGGCGGGGCGGAGGGGCCGTTCAGACGGGCGGCCGCCGCCCGAATTGGGAACGCCGACTGATGATCTCCCAATGCATCTGGTGTAGACCGCTTCGAGTCCACCCACTCAAAAATATGCGAGGCATTTTTTTTCAGGGACAGGCATGGTGTGCTGCAGTACTTATTTTCGAAGAAGTCGCTGGGAAAGCAGTTTGTAAACTATCTGTCATCAACAATTACAAACTGACCAACAAACAAGCTTCTTCTTCCTGAAAAATGAATCCATAGGAACGGTGTGCTGGGTGACATACTTTTACCGTGGACTGTTCTTCGCGAGCTTTTATTAATGAGTGCTCGATTTAGCTGGCGACCACTTCGGCGCGCGTCCCCGGAACGCGGGCATCGCGCAGTGGCGGCAGGGACTCCCAACTTCAGACCGACGAAAAAGCAATGCAGAAGGACTTTCCCAACTTCATTAAAAGCATTAACAGCTTGTTTGCGAGTGCATTCTCCCGGGCGCCATTAAGGGAGGCCGCCGATAATGCCTTTCGATGACCCGATGAAAAGTTGATAGTGTTGACATTGATTTTTCCTTAATTATCACCTGGCGCGTTTATTATTCACAACATGCTCCAAAGCGGTGCGGTGGCCACAATGTGTGGGCTCGTCATGTCCAGTGGTGGGTGAATACCGGAGGGATAAATTGCTTTCTTTGTTTGTTTTTTTACATTGAAATCACCAATTGGCACCCTCCGGTGGTGAAAGCTATGAGTGCGAACAAACACAGTGAAACACCGAACGGTGAGGGTGCTGCACATCTGACACAAAACAGACACAACAAGACAGGTGCAGGACAGCGTCGCATATGGTACAGCGCAAAGATGGTTCTGACTGGCGTTACCTTTGGCGCCCTCATCGGCGGCCTCGGCTGGCTCAACCTCACTAACACCTGCGACAAGAGCCACTGTGAGTCGAAAGCATTACAGTGCACAGACACAACAATCACATGAAAAGTAAACAAGGCGACTTGGTCCGCTGCAGCGCACTCTGGACACGTAACGTAATAAGGGCGCATGGGGTGCGACTGGTGCGACCCCCGCCCTGACCTACTTCAACAGGCGGGGCAGGGCCGGTGGGACCACGGGCCCGATGGACCTAGGGCCGTGGTGCAAACCGGTGGGGCAAAGGGCCTGCAGGTTGGACAGGGCCAGTTGATCGTAGGACCGGTTGGACACAGGGCCGGTTGGACACAGTCGGACGTAGGGCTGCTTGCGCAGGGCCGACGCCCCAAAAGCCAAACCCACGTAACAGCTTCGGCAATCCGGGCTCGCGGCCTTCGCTGAAGATGCACGTTGTAATTAGTTTGGAGGCGGGCGAGGGCAAGGCGGGCACCTGTCAGAGAGATAAGACGGCACGCGCCAAAGCCCCGCCCCGCCCCGCCCCACCCCGCCCCGCCGCGCCGTGGCCCTGGCCGCACAATGGACCGTCATCAAGCAAAAACACTTAGCGCGGTGAATAAATCTCGAGGCAAAGCGGCCAAAATAATCCCCGAGACAACGCCGAGAACACGAAGTACTACACGGAGCGGGCCGAGCAACACGGGGCGGTGTGGTGGGTCCTGGGCGTCCCTGGCGCCAGGCCCGCCCGGCCCGCCAGGCCCGCCAGGCTCAGGGAACAAGACCGTCGCCCGCATCGCGAGCATAGCGAACATTGCGCCGTTTCCAGGAACAATCGCACGGAGTCCGAGCCGTCTGGCCCTGCAGGCCGTGCAGGCCCCCGGGGCCCCCGAAGCACCGGCAGCCGCCCCGGCGTGCCCCAGCCGAGACAGGCGGGACGGACCGGGACGGACGGCCGCGGGGGGACAATGCCGGGGCCAACGAAACTGGCGACGGAGCACGCCGTCGTCGTCAGCCGCCGGCGGAGAGGCTGCCGTCGCACCGTCGCGCACCGTGTCCGTCGCGCTGCCTCCGGCGCTCCGCCCCGCCCCGCCCCGCCCCGCGACGCAAATGATAATGTTTGAGCACTGGATAAGTCGTCGCTGAGTGCGCGGTGGAACAGCACCTGCGGCTGGAGCCTTGGCTGGAGCGGGCTCGGAGCATCCCCGGCCAACTTGAACTTCAACTCGGCGGCAAACAGTTTTGGCGGCCGGCTCGGCGCGCAGACTCTTACGAGGAGGGGATTACGGAGGGGGAGGGGAACGGGGGGAAAGGAGAGTCGAGCGAGAGAAGCTGTCATGGATGCAGCGCAGCTAGACTTCCACGTACCATACACGGCGGCGCAGTGCAAAATTAACACACACACATGCACACTGCGCCACTCACCTTAGACTCACGCACACATTCACTGCATTCACGCACACTTGTATGCACTCACACACTGGTGCTGCTGCGTCGTCGACGCCGAGGTAGGCGTCGTTGTTGCGCGATGCAGCGGAGGCCCTGTCGGTCGTTGCGATGCAGAATGCAGGGCAATGCAGGACAATGCAGGTACGCGAGACAGCGCGAGCGCGGGGAAGAAAAGGGACTCCGTTTGTGCAGGTTTGTGGCATCGGATTGGAGCGGCGCCGACTCGCATTCGCGTGCGGTGGCGTGCGGGAGGGAGATACCTGTCAATAAACTGCAGCACAGCGTAGCACGGCACTGACTAAAAGAGTGTGAGTGTGTGTGAGTGTGTGTGAACGGCCCGCATGCCACACACACGCCGCCGGCGGGGAGTCGAAACACCCCCACCCCAACCCCTACCGTCATCACCCTCGCCCGAGGCCATGGCTGCAGCGAAGCTAGCGACGCACACCGAACCAGATTTCGCCCTCCTAAAATCGCGATCCGCGATACAGCAGGTCGTGGAGTCCGTCTACCGGCGACGCGGCTAGACGGGCAGAGAGGCACCACAGCAAGGTGGAACCGCCCCCGCCCCTTTCCCCCCAAAGCCCCGGGCAGACGGAAAAGTCCGCCAGGCCGGCACGTCGTCCACGTCCCAGCAGTCTGATTCCGAGAGTCGTCTTCGTCGCTCTGTCTCTCTCGCACTCATCGGGCGTCCCGTGCAGGTGCGAGAGGGACGGAGCGACGAAAGCGACTCTCGGGAATCAGTCTGGCGGGACTCAGGCAGCTGGGCGCACCAGGTGCAGACAGGACAGCTTTCCGGATGCACCGCGCGGCCCCGGGCCGCCTTGCCGCGCCTTGCCGCGCCTTGCCGCCTTGGCCGAGGAAGGGGGTTGGGGGTTGGGGGCGGTGGGGGCGCCCCCTCGGGCCCCTGACTGAAGCAGGCGCCGGCGCTGATCGGGCAGGGTAGTGGCGTCGCGTGGCGCCGTCCTCTCGGGGCTCTCGGGCCGCCGGAGCCACTTGATTGTCACTCGGGGGCATTCGGGCATTCCGAGCCGGTAGAGCCGCCTAATGAGGACGAGGGGAGGGGGAGGGGGAGGGGCGTCCCGTCCTGGAGGAGGCCAAGGTACACTCTGCGGCGAGGACTTCCCTCCCCCGTCTTCGTCGGAGAGAATGAGACAAGCGGACGGGCCGATACTGCCTTGGCAGTGCCGTGGCCACCTCGGTATGGCGGATAAAGGAAATAATTGTATCGCCATCGCCGCCGAGGAAGCCCGCCCCACCGCGCTGGCGCTGCACTGCGAGCGCCAGGCTCATGATTCCGATCCCGTCGCTCTGTCTCTGTCGCACTCGCGGGGCGGCCCGTGAGGCCGCGAGAGAGACAGAGCGACGAGGCGCGGTTGAGCGCGCAGGCCTGCAGCGAGGCGGGGAAGTCTCGCGCCACAATTTGTAGCTGGAGGGAGGGGGCCAGATTGCAGCGGAAGACTGATTCTAAAAGCCGGTTCCGTCTCTCTCGCACCTTCAAAGAGGACGCCCCAGGAGTGAGAGAGAGGCGCTCGGAATCAGTCTGCAGGGCGCGCTGGCCTGGCGCCTTGGCCCTGGCGCTGCCGGGCCGAAGGTTTCCATCATCGCGCGCCATCGGAGTCGCCGGCCGACTGCACCTCCACTGCTCCGCTCCGCCCTGGCCGAGGCCCTGGCCCTGGCGTCCTGGCCCCGTTTCGGCCAGCAGCTCCAGAGGGAAATGCACGCCGAGCACGGAAAGGAGAGGAGAAAAGGAGGAAAAAACCCTCACAACAAAAGAAAGCCAAGGCGTGTTTATAGGTCAAAGCTATATAAATCATTATGCAAGAAGCTGCCGAAAATTTTCCTGTTTTGGGGCGCTGTGAAGTACTAGTGGTGTAACAGCTATACTAACAAAGTGTTTTGACCGCGGTTTTAACAGTCGAAACCACGTCGTTGTGTTGGAGCTCCCTGTCGCGGGGTCTTCCCTCGGTCATCGCGTATCGGCCCTGGGGCGCCCTGGGGCGTGGGAGCGGCTGGCCGGCCGCCGGTCGCTGACTCGCTGACCAGTGGGGTGGACGGCGCGACACTGTAGGGCCGGCTCCCGCGGCCGGGGCGCTCCGAGGCGTGCAGCGATCTGCATTGCAAAAGACCAGGGATCTGCATCGCACCTCCGGCCGCGCCGCAGGGCCGCCGGGTCGGTCTCATCACCGATGTCGCCTTTTCGCCTTTTCGGCACAAAAAGAAGGGAGCGCGCGGCCGGTGGCGCCAAAGGAGGTCACCGAGGACGCCAAGCAGGCCGCGCCAAAAGCCTCCAGCCAGGACGATCCGAACCCCGCTTCCCTCGCTCTGTCTCTCTCGCACCCATGGGGCGTCCCGTGGAGGCGCGAGGGAGACGGAGCGACGCAGCGCGGTTCGGCATGACTCCGCAGCGCGTCGCGACGCGTCGCCATGGCGTCGCCGAGCCGCCGAGCACCGCGGCGTTCCCTTATTGCCGCTGCGCTAATCCGGCGCTGCAACGCCCTTGCCACCACAGCGCGCCGCGGATTATGCAAATGAGGCTCGCGAGTGGAGCGGCGGGGCGGGCCAATCCTCGAGCAGGGAAGGACCGGGCCGGCCGCCGCGCACCGCGCACCGCACCGCCAGGAGGAGAAAACACTCGAAAAAGTGTAAAACGCCGCGGCCGAAAAAAAAAACACGATTCCGAATTGAAATGCGCGCGGCAGTGCGGCGGGGCCTCGTAGGGCGTCGTGGGGCCTCGTGGGGCCCGGCCGGCGGCGGTGCGGTTATCGACGCCTCGCTGTCCTGCGTGTTCTGCGTTCCGCTTCTCTTCGCGTGCCGCGCGGCCGCGCGCCGGATTCGTCACACACGCCGCGCCACTGCCACCGTTTAGTTCCGAGCCGCGTCCGCGACGACGGCGCCGATAGCAGTCTGCACGGACAAGGCAGCGCGACAGCGCCGAGCCACTGCCAAGCCGCGGGCCGCGGACAGGACATGCACGCGTTTTTACTCGCCGCCTACAGGTGGAAATGGCCGGCGGATCGGGAGGGGGCGAGGCGGGGGGTTACTGCAGTCAGCACTCCGCGCCTTTGACGGCGACGTGTAATTTATGACGGCGAGGCCGGCCACGGCACTGCCACGGCCACGACCGGCCGGCCCTATGGCACGGAGACATGTTGCCATACCTGCAGTGTGACGTCAGGCGTCCACCTACATGACGGCAGCGGGCGAGGCGGGCGGGCGAGCGACAAATAAAACAAGAAGGACCGAGGAGGACGCGCGCGGGGCTGGAGGTGGCTGGAGCCGCGCGGCCAGGACCTGCCAGGACGCTCAGTGACGTCAGAGCTGTTCATGAAAGGGGAAGAGGGCTGGGTCGTCCAGCCTCGGCACGGTCTCGGCCAGGAAGTGCCGCGCCCCGGCCGCTGGGAATTCCCTGTCCTGGCAACTCGCTCCCGGCCGCTTGCTGTGACACTCCACTCCGCGAGCGGCGAGAGGGAGAGGCCAAAAGGTCACTTGGGCCGGTCCGGGTCGCGCGTCCTGAACCCACGGCCAGCTGCACGGCGGCAGATGCAGCAGGGCAGATAGCCACCACCGCGCCGCCGAGGGTGCCCGCTCTCCTCCGCTGCCTCTGGCCCTCGGCCCTCCGACCCTCGGGCATCGCATGTCCCGCCAGCATTAGTTGGGTCAGGAGCACAGTCGATGCTAGTCGGTAGGTCGGTAGCGATCTGGCGCCGCTGAACTCTATGGGCTCTGTGGGCGAGGGGCGAGGCCGGGCGGCGGGGCGGCGGGGCGCGGGGCGTAGGGCAGGCCCCCGGTCGCCCCCGGTGCATTGTCCGTGTTGCATAACGGGGACGTGTCGCTGTCACCGCCGCTGCGGCCGCGCCGCCCTCCCGGCGGACGCGGCGGACGCGCCACTGGCAGTCTGACGGTGTGGCGGTCCGAGGGGCCCACACGGCCCGCACGGCCACACACTCACCTATGTTGCCGTCCTGCGAGTTCCTGCGCGGCCGCAGCAGGCCGCTCTCCGGGTCCGAGTCGTCGGCGTCCTGGGCCTGCGCGAGGGACTCCCTCGTCGACTTGGCCGGGCCGTAGGTCCGCACTTTGCCGCCGTCTCCGGACTTGGTCACTTTAAATCGCTCGGCCATGCTGCCGTCATTCGCGCTGATGACACTCTCGATGAGCGACTCCGCGTCGCCTCACTGTCTCCGCTGTCCTCGCGACCCTGTCCGCAAACACGCGACGCGACTCCGTGCGTCTTGTCCTGCGTCCCGGTGCCTCTAGGGGCGCAAGGCGTGGGGGTCCGGGCGGATGCTTACCGGCGCGGCGCGGCGGGGCTCTAGCGCGCTACTAAACGAACATCGGAACACCCGCCAAACGGGGCCCCATGAAATGTCAGGAAGGTTCGTGGAGCCCCCGGGAGGGGCGCTAGCTGCCGGCGCACTGGCCACCGCGAAACCTGTGCCTACACCAGAGCCCGGGGGCGCCGTATGTCGGAAACCATTTTTTATAATATGTGTGGTTGGAAGAATTGACACCAACAGCCCAAAACAGCATTTCCGGCCGGAACTGACTTCCTGACAGCATTCAGGGAAACAAAAGAAGGGCGGAAGGACTTCCAGAAAACAACAAACAATTGTCTCAAGGCGGTGCTGCCTGCAGAAACATGGCCACGAACAAAGTTGCTGCTAAGCGAAAACTCGAAAAAGCTGTTATTAATGAAAAAGCTAATGGTTCTACATCGCTGACCAGTGATAATGAATCCGAGGTGGGTCTTTGCTTCATCTTTGCCTGAAACGTTGCCCGTCAACCTCGAATATGTTTGATTTATTAGTTTCAAACCTCTTGCTCCTGTACCTAACTTCTCACGTGGGCTGCCTTACAGTACACCTTTCCTATTGTACTCATCTCAATAAGTGTGAAATTCATCTAGCATCGTTTTTCTTGTACTATTCTACAGTTGCATTTGATATTCTTGTGGATTTTTTGTGCACTTAGAGGGTTGTATCTTTTCTGGCGTCTGCACTGGTTAGCTAGGTTATGTTTACCGGTAAACTGACGAATGCTGCTTGTTCATTAAAATTGATCCCTCTTTGATGTGGCTCTAATCAACTCATCACTCGCAGTTTTTCATTTTTTTTCTAATTAAAGTACGTGGATTATCTTTCTGTTTAGGACGAAGACCTTCTGCAGACAATTTCAGACAACGACAGTACAGACGGTGAGGACCAAGACCTGTCTGATGAAGACAGTGACGGGTATGTGGAAAGTATAGAGGGTGATAGCAATGAAGAAGATGCAAGCGGTGAAGAAGATGAAAGTGGTGATGAAGATGAAAGTGGTGATGAGGAAGAAGGAACTGACGACTCTGAAGCTGAGGATGAGGAAGGAACAGATGAATCCGATTTGGAGTGGGAATCGGATGAGGAAGAAAGTGCTGATGAAGAACCAGCTGATTCCAAATTAAATGAAGCCAAGACATCCTCAAATGGGAAACTGGGAGGCAAATTTAAAATTGACAAAGTCAAAGGTGATAAAATAAAGGATACTGGAGCTCCAAAAGGACCATCTAAATCACCTGCTGAGGACAAATCAAGTAGTGACATAGTCAAAGGGTCTGAATCAAATAGTGATGAGGCTCTTCAAGGAAAATCTGAACCACCGGCTGATGAATATGCAGCTGGTGATACTTCTGATGAGGAGGCAAGAGTCATTTCTATGTTCTGTTATCTCAAAATTTATGTGTTGCGAGTTGTTGGTAAATATTTCTTGATATTTTTGATTTTGCAGGATATCCGTAATACTGTTGGTAACATCCCAATGAATTGGTATGATGAGTATCCCCACATTGGTTACGACTCAGAAGGCAAACGCATTATGAGGCCTAAAACAGGAGACACTTTAGATCAGTTCCTAAAACGCATGGAAGATCCTAATTTCTTGTGAGTTTTATTTTTGTTTCTCAATTGCTGTTATTTGATGTGCTTTCTTGTACTCTTCTTATTTTCATTTAATTTCCAGCCGAACTGTTAAAGATCCACAAACTGGACAAGAAGTTGTACTTAGTGATCGTGATGTTGAACTTATCAAACGCTTGCAGAGTGGAAAGATTCCAGATGCTTCATTTGATGACACTGCTGTAAGTTGTGATTATGGTAGATTATTTTCCTCACATTTTTTTTTTTTTTTTTTTTTTTTCAAATTTTATATTATTTTTAATTTTTGTGCCAGCCTTGGGTTGAGTACTTCACCTCTGATGTTATGAAAACACCACTGCGTAAGTTCCCTGAGCACAAAAAGTCTTTCTTGCCCAGCAAGTCAGAAGCAGCCAGAGTATCTAAATATGTGCATCATCTTAAAATGGGATGGATGAAAACTAGACAGCAAAGGGCTGAAGAGAGACAAAAGAAAAGAGAAAAGAATTTCTATATGTTATGGGGTACTGATGACAATGCCTCAGAAGAGATGCGTAGAATTCACAATCACTTGCCTGCTCCCAAACGGTTATTGCCAGGGCATGCGGAGTCTTATAATCCACCTGCAGAATATCTATTTGACGAGCGAGAGGTGTGTACTTCCACAGCATCTGCCTTTTTCCTCATTAAAATTATTTCAAATGTTTAACAGTCTATAATGTTGACTGGATTTTTACAGATGAGACAATGGGAAAGTATGGCAGATACTCCCCACAAAAGGAAATTGCATTTCCTTCCTCAGAAGTATTCCTCTCTCAGAGCTGTGCCAGCTTATTCCCGTTACATCAGGGAGCGCTTCTTGCGTTGTTTGGATCTTTACATGTGTCCTCGGGCTATGAAAATGAAGGTAATAAATGTTTTACTAGTTCCAAATATTCCCTTATGTGCCTTTCATTAGATGATCTTAATAAGGTAACCAATTTTATTATATTTTAGCTGGCAATTCAACCTGAAGATCTTCTTCCTAAATTGCCAAGTCCAAAAGATTTGCAGCCTTTCCCCACCACTTTGGCTGTGGTGTATGAAGGACACACTGACATGGTCCGCACAATTTCTCTTGACATGAAGGGCCAGTTCTTAATATCAGGATCTGATGATTGCACTGTGAAAGGTTTGTATATTAAATTGTTGGCCTTGTTTTAAACTTATTAGTTTTTGTTCTCTTTTAAATAATTTTGTCTTTTTCATTTTTATTTCAATGTCCAGTGTGGGAGGTGGCTACTGGAAGATGCATGCGTACAATTAATGTTGGAGGCACTGTCAGAAGTGTGTGCTGGTGTCCAAATCAGTCCCTCTCTCTTGTGGCTGTGGCTGCTGACCGGAAACTTCTTCTCATCAATCCTGGGGTTGGTGATAACCTTGTAGTGGCAAAAACTGATGCTCTATTGAAAGAAATACCTGAAGAGTCATCTGCAGGTGAGGTCTTCTCTGTTACTTGTCTTGTCTTTCTTTTTCTTTTCTTTCACCTGTCAGTTATGAAGCATATTGGTACCATCATGTGACATTTTTTGTTACAGTTCCAGAAAGAGTGAAGACAGCTGTGCAGTGGGAACAAGGCAATGAAGAAGAATGGAGCTATGGCATTCGAGTTGTTGTAACCCATTTCAAGGAAATCAAACAAGTTACATGGCATGGTCGTGGTGACTATTTCTCCTCTGTAATGCCTGAAGGTGCTAACAGATCAGTGCTTATTCATCAGCTCTCCAAGCGACGATCGCAGGTTCCTTTCAGCAGAAGCAAGGGGCTTGTTCAGTGTGTCTTATTCCATCCCATTCAGCCCATGCTGTTTGTAGCTACTCAAAGACACATCCGTGTCTATGACTTATTGAAACAAAAAATGACAAAAAAATTGGAAACATTTGCCAAGTGGATTTCATCAATAGCTATTCATCCCAATGGAGACAACATTCTTGTGGGAACTTATGACAGAAAAATGCTATGGTTTGATTTAGACTTGTCTACTGAACCTTACAAAGCCCTTCGTCTTCATGGAACTGCAGTACGTGGTGTGGCATTCCACAAACGGTATCCACTGTTTGCTTCAGCATCAGATGATAGAAGCGTTATTGTGTCTCATGGAATGGTGTACAAGTAAGTAGCAGTGCTTTACTTAATCTATCTACTCTCAATATTTGTTAAATTTTCACAATCTCATATTGCTTATTTCTTGTTCTTTTTCAGTGACCTGTTGAAGAACCCCCTCATTGTTCCACTGAAACGTCTAGCCTACCATGATTCTAACAATGACTTTGGTGTATTTGATGTGATTTTCCACCCGACACAACCTTGGGTGTTCTCTGCAGGAGCAGATAAAACTGTCAGATTATATTCATAGAACTGCAATTATGTCTTAAATAATAAATCATAATAAATTCTCTTCCACTTTCTGTGATTATTCTCCAAGTGTCCAAACTTTGTTTCCCCCAAGGCCAAGGCCTACTCCTACTCCATGTTCCAACATTTTACAATTTCTCAACATTCAGGCTTCTCATTTCTAATCCAGAAATAAGGCGAGGCTTATTTCCTGCATTTTTTTGGTGTCTTCCTTTTTGTTTTGCTCGCACCTAATACTGTTCTGAAATGTTGTTAATACAGTGAAACTAGTAGATAACCCAGTTATCCTACACAGTAAATCAAGGCAAATGCATCCCATACTCCTATGAGCAACTATGAACCCCGCAAAGTGCTTTTTCTTATCAAAGCACTCAGCATCTCACTTCTGAGACAGGTGCACAAGTTTGTTAGCTGAGGTGTACATGATTTTCAGATAAGGTGTGTAGGAGAAGGAGGGGTAGAATAACAGAAAAAAGTATTTTTAGGAAATCTTCCTTTATTCATCCATTTTCATATATTTTTTTAAAGAAACAAATATCAAAAATGTCCTTTAAACCCCGCCAAAAGTCAAAATAGTCTAATAGTCAAAACATAAAACCTACATAACTTCATGTTTATTATTTTTTTTCTGGATTTTATTTCATTTTTTTTAAATCAAATTTTGAGATTTTAACAAAGTGAAGGCACATGCATGGGGCTATTTACACTACTTAAAAATCAATAAAAACGGAGGAAATTTAACTTCATAAATTCATAACGCCATGCACTCCGCACCATGGTTCAAAACTCTACAAGCATCATTACATGACCTTACAAAAACAGGTTTCCTGGCTTCATAAGAAATTAAAATTCATTTACTGCAGTTTGTAATATATCTTCTACAAAATTATTAGTCAGAAAATAATCTTTCGACTAGATTGAAAAGTACACAGGTTAAGCCACCCTCAAAAATAAGCGTTTTAACTTGCCTCTACCAAAGAAGTGCATAATGATACACATTTATGGTGAAGAGGCAAAACCATCACAAGGAAGGGTTGCTATGGATAATGTGCACTAACTATGAATTAAGCATTATGGCAGTTTTGTCGTATGCTTTGCCAGGAGTAACAATATATAATTTTCATAAGTTTCAGTCTTTTGCTACTCAAGACAAAAGCTTGGGAAGATTAAGTATCAGGTGAAATTGGAGCCATGTGACACAAGAGGTTTGCAGCCACTGGATGGGGGAGTAAGTAGACCTAATGCCTTCACCTCTTCATCTTCAACTAATTTAACAAGTAAAGCTTGAGCTTGTTCCTGGAAAATAAAAAGGTCGTTAGTAAACAATTTAACCAAACCATTTTTTCAAAACACATTCAAAATGGATACTAACCAGCATGTCCAAATTCACAGAATGAGTTTGTATGTTGTGAGAGTCATCTGTGACTATGTTCGGAACTGCCTTGGTCAGTCCAGAACTGTGAGGTGAACCTGAGCTATGGGAGGGAAATGTAGTAGTAGCACCCTCTTTAGCTAGAGTTACAGCATAGGGTTTCATCCACTTGACACAAATTGCAATGTCTTGCCATTGCAATCCTGAGAAACATGAAAGAGAAATTGGAAATATTAAACACCAATAAAACCCAATAATAGCAAACACTATAAGAGCTTGGAAAGTCAAGTTACCTGAGAATTTCAAGGCTATATCCCTTGACACAGTATGATGCAAAGCTGATGTTGCAAGGACTGAATAGGAGAAATGGAGACAGGCAGCATCCAGAGTGCACAGGTCCAACAGCTGAGCTGTTTCTGAGAATGACAGCCCAGAGAATTGGGGGTAAACAAAGGACGTTCCAAGATTCTCTTCGTGCGCTGTCTGTACTTCAGGTTGCAACGGTGACGAGCAAAGCCCTCCCAGGCTTGAGCGACTAACGCGACGAGCCAACTTCTCCCGCGCGGCAGATCGCTGCTGTCGCCCAACCACCCTCCGATGGCTGCTCACCAACTGCATGTAAGTATTTAGCCAGTAGTTTACTGTCAAAGGGCTCAGACGCCAGTCCAAACACTGAAAGAGAGCAACACATAATTAGACACATTAACTACCAAGACATTGAAGGGGACTAGTATGGGTGTCGGGGGCAAGAAATCTTGATGGAAAATAAAATTTAGCCACTATCTCCTGACTAAGAAAATATTCAAGTGGCAAGAAAAATTAATGCCCATCTAACTCAGTTCTTGCAACACAGATGTTGGTTCCCACTTCATTCCCCTAAAATAATGTTATGACTTGTAGCCTGAGATGGGTTGCACAACACTGCAGATTACACAGTTCTGTGGCATACCACAAGGCTTTTACTTACTGCACCAATCTACAGGAACATTGTGTCTGAATAGAAGGGGGCAGGGCATCGAGTGGTTTGGAGGCCATAACCAGGCTGACTGCATTACCTTCATGATTGCCAGTTCTTTAGAAAGAATATCTGCCTCAGTGCATGCTCCATCGGTCACATATGCAAATTCTTGGATCTTAGGTGGGTATATTTCTTCCATCTTAGCAGCAATGAAAAGACATGTGATTCCTAAAATAGTAATGAAATGAAAGGTCAAATTTACTGGATAGATACTTGATATAAAACATGATAAGATCAGATTTAAGAACAAGGGCTTACCTATGAGCTGCAGTTGAGTCTTGGGCAAATCTTTTGTGAGGGTAAGGTAGCGGTCCAGAAAGTCCATGGCAAGATAGTAAGTTTCTCTATGAAGCCTATACACTTCACAAACTTCGATCAGCCAATCCAAAAGAACAGACCGCATGCGAGGTTGAAGAAGAGGGTGGTTGTCAAACATGTCGGGATTCCGCCTTTCTGTAGCTGCTGTATCTTGAGCACACATTCGCTCCCAGACATTCTTTTCATCAGCCCAATTAAGATTTGGTAGAGGGCATGCTCGCTCTGTGGGCTGTCCTGGTTGGCTAAAAGAACCACGAAATCTGCAACAAACAACATAAATTAAGACTTTCCACTTAGACAGCCTTTGAAATCAAAAAAATTATCAAATTTTCACTGACCTGCTCCATGTATGGCAATTGTCAATCGGTGTTAGAGGATAAGTCTGTCTTGCTGGCTCTGGACTGAGAACTGTACAACCATCATCATTTTCACTTCCTAGTTCATAACCAGCTTCATCACCTGAGGATGGAACCTCAAAGCAGCCCAAGTCTTCACTAGGTACGTCACAGCTTAATGTAGGTGGACATTCATTTTCCTTGTCTTCACTGGATATCACAACAACGCTGTCTTCACTTGGTGCTTCAACAGTTTGGGTTTCTTGAATACTTATCTCTGGAGCATCACCCTGTGATGAGTCGATGGCGACCTGAAGAAAGAAAACGATTATAAAACACGAGTTCAAAAGACCTAAAGGTTTTAGTTTACACAGACTGGACATGCGAGAGAGGAGAGCCATCAGTAATCAGATCTTGCTTTTAACCCATGGCTCACCTCTGGAATCTGTCCTGGAGGTGGTGGTCCAGGGGGTCGTATTTCCTGCAAGCATCACATGCCAAGCTGTTAGTATACACCATACACCACACATGCTTCAGGAAAGAGTTAGTTGTTTAGGAAAAGACAAGATTTTCACTGTGCTCTACAGAGGCCCAGAACTGACCTCTCCATCATCGGTGTCGCGGCGCTTCCTCTTCAGTAGTGCTGGAAGTGTGGGTTGGCTTCTCCGACTCATCATGCAGGTCCTTAGAATCTTCAAGTTGACGTCATGCAGGCCTCCTTTTCCCACTGAAAAGAGCAGAGGGCAAACAGCAATGTTAAAACTCAAGAATTTTCAAGGCACCCTGCTGGTGGACACGAAAGCATAACGAAAAGCAGCAGCAAGGACTGAACGCCAGAAATTTTAAGATATGTCCAGGAACCAGCAATGCATTTAGGAAACAAAAATGGTGGAAATTCTTATTTGAAATAAAAAGCAAATGGCCACAAACGGGCAATGAAATTGAGAGGAAATGAAAGCACAATGATAGCAGCAGTGCATGCTTCATGGTTATAACCATGCAACTCCTACCCCACCAAAAATTGATTTAAAAAAATTTACCATGAACCAGAATGCAATAGATCGGTTAAAAATTCCGCAGAAATGTTGGTTCAGAAAACAGTAACCCCCCACAAATCTTTAAAGACGAAATAGAGCTCTCTAGGATAGAGACCGCAAGTTTTACTAGGTCACCGGGCGCGGGATACAAAGGCCACATAGACAACTAAAATTTTCACTTTAAGGGAAAATTTTGTAAAGGAGGGTGGAAAATAGACAAAATAACTGTGCAGAATGGAAACTGGCTTGGCGGAATCCCTAAAATTGGTCGAAACAACGCGTATAGGAGTAGGAAAATTGGGCGCCGAATGCTCGATCTCCCGCCGGAATGCGGGAACAATGGGGACCTCAAACTATCTTATTTCGCCATCATTTATGATTTTCCAGAAGCAAATTGCCACTGAGGAAAAACGCCAGAGCCTAACAGATTCAGACGGACGACCAAAAGAGTCCACAAAGCTGGCAAACTAATTTTGGAGACAACTTGTTGAGTTCACTTCGCGCGCGAAGTGCAGCCCTGCACATAGCGCGCAAACACTGTCCACGTATGTAAGTTTTCAGAAACTGACTTAATGAGGAGAAGGCCTACACTCTTTTAGATCCACTACAACTCCAGGGGTGAAATATCATCGGCTATTAAATCATTTCATGCGATTGTATGGAAATGAAATAATATCCGGAGCGGCGTAGTGGCCACGGGCACACATCAGCCAATCCATGTATTTTTACCCACATCAGTATTCACGTAGAAATACATGGAGCACACATTTCAATTATCCACTTATCGCAGGCACGTTTCCAGTATCCAAAGGGAAGGGTTATCCTCAAAATTCTTGATGAAATCCAGAAATGCGCAGAGACACGACGCCGGCAGGCCAGCCATTAACCGCAGTGCTTACATGTGTGGGAAATATCCGTTCTTCAGTAGTATCCGAGTTTGGTGAGATGGCAGCACATAGTTTCACACACGGAAAGTGTCCTTGAACGCCAAGGACCACATTCCTAAACCAACTTAGTCACCAGGGCCAAGTCTCCACGACAAGTTCGCGCAATGCAACTCATGCAGAGTGAGTGCGAGAGGCGACTGGACTGACAAGACTGCACTGCGCGAAGGGGAGAGGAGGCTCGGGGACGAGGACGGGGCGAGGAAGGGGGAGGCGGACAACATTGGCGGTGGTGGGGGCACGGAGGTGCTGCCCCCTACTAGCGTTGCCCCGGCGTTGCCGGCCTCTCATTGGCCGGCCGCGTCGACAAGTGACAATCGCCACTCGGCCCAGCTGGCGCGAGCGGCGCGCACAGCTGATTACTCGCGCGCAACCCGCGCGGCCCAAGCGCCTGCGCGGGAAAGTGCAGTGGCCAGGGCGCCAGGGCGGATCGCGGCGGAGGAGTGTCGCGGTGGCGCCTCTAAGGCGACGCGGCGGGGCGGGACTCATTTCGCGCCGCGCCCGCGCCCTCGACCCTCGCGGACTTCTGGGCCTCTGTCGTCGACCCAGTGGCGGCTGAAATGTCTTTTATCGCCCAAACTGGTTTACTTGTGCGATGGCCATTTTCGTCCCTTTTCACACATTTGATCAGGTTTTTGGGTTTCTCTCATGAGTCGTTAGTGTCCTTGTCTGTGATAGGTGTTTGCTGCCAATATGCTGAATTTTAGGTTCTGGATTGGCGAAAATTAACTATACTGCGCGTTATGCGCTGGAGCAGGGCAAGCAGAGCCCCTTACCGACGAGGCATATTAGACGCGAGTACATGTTTCTCTTCTCTCTCGGGTTGGCCGATGAAAGTCGAGCAAAAGAGCAGGGTGGCCCGCGTGGCAACCAGAGCGAGCCAGAGCCAGGTCTTGTCCCCGCGCCGCCCCGCGCCACCCTGCTCCCCGCCGTGGCCATGCAGCGTGCGGTGGTGCCGTGGCGGCTCGGTGCGCTGGCCGTCTCGCTGCTGGCCGCGCTGCCGGCTCGACTTGGAGTCCGAGGTGAAGCATCTCGCCGGAATTCTGCCGTAGTGCTCAGGTGGCTCACGAACTTTCGGCGCGGGCCTGGGCGGCCGGGCGGCCTGGACCTGGGGCTCGGGGACCTGGGGCCCTGGGGGCCGGCTTGGAGCGGGCTCGGCGTGCTGGTGGCCAACGGGGCTCTTCGGGGCCATCGGCGCAGGTTCGGCTTCGGGACGGAGCCCGGGGCCCGGGGTGATGAAGAAGGAGGAGGCCGAGGAGACCTGACGTCCGGGGGACCCGGGGGCCCGGGGGTGTCCGGGGGGAGAGTCAGTGGCACTTGGCTGAGGCGTAGAAGGCGAGGGAGGGGAGCTTGGAGTAGGGGGAGACGCCGTCGACGGGCGGGAACAGCGAGGAACGCGCGGTCGCCGTGCCGCACCGCCCCGCACCGCCTCTATGCCGCCACGCCGTGCCACTGCGCCACACGTCGCCACGCTAGCCCTCCAGCCTCCAGCCGACTCGAATTGGGCGCGAAGGCGGGAAAGGAAAGGAAAGGGGTCCCGACGGCCACCGCGACGGCGACGTGGAAACGAAATAAACCCTTGGAGCCTCCCAGGCACCCTGGCAGCCCTAGCCCGGGATCCCCAGGACGGATTAGGCCGATCCGGGCCGCCGGACGGTCTTCTAATGTGGGCCCATTGTTTTCCCGGACACGTAAGCAGTGTAAGTAGGCTCCGGCGTACACGTCCGCGCGGACGACAAAGAAGTGCGTCTGCGTCCTCCCAGGCTGCGCGGCACTGCGCGGGGTGTGGGCACTGCCTGGTGGCACCGCGGCACGCCGGCCGCAAGATCGCCTCCAGATAAAATAAAGCCGCGATAAAGATAAAAACGGTAATAACGAGCCTGGACAAGTGCTGCTGGAGTGTGTAGTGCAGGCAGGCCGCGACAGCGCGACGCTTTGCGCTGCTCCGCGCTCCGCCAGATGGGCGAGCCAGGCAGCAAGGCGGGGAGGAGACGGGAGGAGCAACAAAGGAAGGGTGAAGGAAGAAGGGAAGGGAGGGGGCTGTGTGGGAATTCGAGGATCCAAGCAGCGGGGCGACCGGCTGGAGCGAAGCGGCGAAGCGGCGAAGCGCCAGGCCGTGGCCAGTCCATCCAGCCAAGTCGAGCTACCCCCTTGCCACCACCCCATGCACCAGTAGGTTGGAACATTGAAACACCAGCTGCAACGGGGCGGGCTGGTACCCGCGCGCCGCCACACACACACACACCCACTCACTCGCCCACGCACACACACGCAGTACGCCCCTTTGATGGCGCTCATCCCTGTGAGAACGGGGCGAATCCTGAATATGCATAGACGCCGGCGACGCGGTCGAGTGCGCCGCACCGTTTTACACGCGCACGTCCACGTCGTCGCGCCCTCCTGCAGCCGGGCAGGTGCCGCGGGTGCTTCCCAGGCGCGGAGCGCGGACTGGCGAAAACCGCGGTGGGGGCGCGTTGCGTTGGCCGCGTCGCCGATGCCCGCGAGAGCACCTTCCTCCTGGACGTCCTGGACTCTGGAAGGCCTACTTCCGGTCGGGCCGCGTGCACACCATGCACACCCCGGGGCCGGCGGGCCGCCTCATCAGTCCATGTGTCTTCTCGGGCTGCCCGTTGTCTTGGACCCTCGGACGTCCCTCGGACGTCCCTCGGACACCGCGTCCTTTGTGCGTCGCCATTCGGCGTGTCGCTCTGTCACGGCCGTGGAGGCCATGTCGCAGCCATGTCGCAGCAGCACACATGGCGGCCGCACCCCTCTGCCTGCTCGGCCTGCACGGCCTGCCCATCGGAGCGAGCAGCTCGACGACGTTTCCCAGCGCCGTGACGACGCGCTGCTCGACCTGGAGGGCCTGGAGGGCCTGGGGGACCGGGAGGCGGATCGCCCGGAGCGCGCCGTTCGGTTTCGCGGGCAACACGAGCTGTGCCGTCGACCCGGGATGTGGCCGGGCGTTGGCGGCCCCTCTGCGCTTGGCGGCCACGGCCAGGGCCCCGCCGTGAGGCCCCGCCGTGAGGCCCCGCTGTCCGCACGGCGTCTCGCCCGGTCTTGACTCAGCCCCCCGCCAGGGCTGTGGGCTGGACTGGCCTGCACTGGGTTGCGCTGGGCTGCGCTCAGCAGTTTGACTCCGAGAGTCGTTTTCTTCGCCGTGTCTCTCGCGCACCTTTAGGCGGCGCTCAATGAGTGCGAGAGAAACAGAGCGACGAAACCGACTCTAGGGATCAGTGTGCAGCGAAACGCGAATTCCATCGCAGGCGGGATCCCCTTACCCCCACCAGCCTGCCCCTTTTCCAGGCCTCGGACTTTTCCTCCAACGAGACCCACTTGTGGGCCGCGCTAAGGCTCCGCCCGCGCCGCGCACGTGCCGTGCCCCGGGTGCCTGCCGCCCACTACACTCGAAATTGGAGCGATAAGTCGCCAGGGCCGCCTGCTGCCACTGCCGCTGCCACCCCCTTGCTTTCACGTTCCTCGACCACACGACGCCCGTCACGTCAGAGTCACCAAGGGCCGCCCCGACACATCCGGCGCGTGGCCCGGAAGGCCGCCAGGCACACCGCCAGCCCGTCGCGTCGCCACCGAGCGGAACGTCTTGCCCTTGCCTCCCCCGGCCGGAGGGTACCGGAGGGTGGTGGGTAGTACTCCTCCGCAGCGGACTGTGAAGCGGTCGGCCAGGGACAGGAGGACCTGTCTCCTTCCCGCCGAGGTCTCCGCCGAGGTCCTCGCCGTCCTCGAGGCCCTGGCCGCCTTATCTCCCCACCGATCGCACGACACTGGATTGATTTCCGGCGCGTGCGGCGTGCGGACCACGACGACGACGCCGAGGCGCATGAGGGCACCTTGAAGGCGACGGCACCTCCACGAGCGTATCTCCGCCCGCACCGCGCACCGCGACATCCTGCGGAAAAAGGCGCCAGCGGACCAGCGCGCCAGCGACTGGCCGCCGCCGACTGGACTGGGTCCTGGAGTCGTCGTCGCCCGCGGCGGGATTCGAACTCAGGTCAACGACTCTCCGCGGGCCAAAGCGGACCAATTTTCGCGCCGCCTTTTGGCTGATTACAGCTCTGGGAGGCAGTGACTGCGTGCTGCGTACTGCGTACCGTACCGTTTCGAGTGTCCCCGCCTGACCAGCCCCGCAGACCCCCCCCTCCCCCTTTCCTCTTTGCATGCACTGCCCCGTATGCACTGCCCGGCCACCTGCAAGAGGTGTTACGGCAGCAGCGCGTGCGCACCTCCCCGCCCCGCCCCGCGGTTACCTCAGGCGGGTACCTCAGGCGGGCACCTCAGACCGGGTACCTCATGGCGGGCTCCGGGCCGGCCACCTTTGGCGGGCCCCCGCTCTAGAGCCCGGCCGGCCCGGCCCGCTCATGGCGCGGCGCGCGGCGGACTCGTCCCGCGCACGCCGCAGGAGTACCAACTGCATCCCGCGCCGCCTGTGCGTGGCCGCGCCGCGCCGCGCCGTGCCGCGCCATCATGGTGGCGCGGGACCGGGACCGACCGCACGCCCGGCCGGCTGGGGGCTTCAGGCCTTTTCGATAAGACGCACGCAGCGTTTCCAACCCTCGGCTCGGACACAAGCGGAAACGGGGCGAACGGGCGGACACCAAAACGGACGAGAAAAAGAGCGAAAGAGAGGAAGAGGGCACCGACCTTGAACACATGCCTCACCCCCTTCTTGGACGTCTCCGCGGCGATGAGCGTCGGGCGCACGCACAGCCGACGCGGGAGGTGTAGGGCGCGAGGCGCAGGGGGACCAAGGAAACCACGCGGCCTAGAGGCCCGGCGCGGCGAAGGCGGCCACGAAAATAAATGATAGAACGTCCCGGCCAGCAAAGCGAGCAAAGCGCCAGCGCATGTTGCTTCGGTGGCGGCCCTGGCGGTGCTGACGCGGTGCTCGCCGAGGTGACTGGCCAATCCGACGTGGGACGAGGGGGCGTCACTTGCACCAGCAACGCTCAGTATAGCAACGCGTAGCGAAAGCCCCGCCAAGTCGCCGAGTGGGCTGTATTTTCGAGATGTGCCAATGTGGAGGCGACGGCGGGAGGGGATCACGGATAGGATGGGAACCTCCACCCTTTTACGGCTTCTCTCCTTGCAGATTCCGTGTATTCATTCAATCCCGTCTCCGCTCCGCCTCGTCCTTCTCATGGCCTCCTCCTTTCACCCCTCCTCTCGCC